GCCGGCCACAAGAGCTACCTCCGGAGTACGGGGCTCTACCCGATAACAGTCCCAAGCCAAAAGCCACCACCTCTACTGCGACAACTATGACAGCCCCTTTACCAACGCCCGCCATGGTCGTGATGCAACAGCCAAAGGAGCCGCCCATTTTTCACGGATCGTAATTTGGAAAACCGAAAACCTGGCTTGAGACCTATGACTGAGTGGCAGCCTTGAACCAGTGGGACTCAGATGAAAAGCTGCGTTGCGTCTACTTCTACCTAGATGACGCGGCGAGGGCCTGGTTCAAGAATCGGGAGTCAGCACTTAGCTCCTGGGATGTCCTTCGCGGCACGTTCCTAGAAACTTTCACGAGTGTCACCCGCAAAGAAAAGGCCGCTGCTTCGCTCGGGACCCGGGTACAGCTACCAAACGAGAATGTCAAAATCTTCGCAGAAGAGATGACTCGTCTGTTCCGGCTCACCGACCCTGAGATGATTGAGGAGAAGAAGGCACGTTTGCTCATACGAGGATTAAAGCAAGACCTCTTCACTAGGCTGTTGTGGAACCCACCCAAAACAGTCCAAGAGTTTGTTTCGGAGGCTAGCACAATTGAGAAAACGTTTGAAACGCGTACGCACCAGTATGATTGCCGATCGTTGCAAAAGGGTGCAACTGTTCAGGCCCTCAGCTCCGACGACATACGGGGAACGATCCGGCAGATCTTGAGGCAGGAGCTACAGAAACTACTGCCTTCTTCGCAACTCCGAGTGGACTCAGTTGCTCACACTGTCCACAAAAAAAGTTCGGAAATTGCTTGGAGTTTCCAAAGCACCGCAGCCTCAGCTGCACGCGATGAACTACGCTGCTGCAACCCGCCGCTACATCCCGCCTCTGCGCACACACCAAGACGCTGCACTGCTGAAATTCCGCCGCAAGACGCCACCGCCGTCACGCACCACCACCACCACCACCGACGCCCTACCATTCTCCTCTCAGCCAGTGCTAAAACCTAGGAAAACGGACGTTTGGCACGCCCCTGATAACAGCCCGCTATGCTACCACTGTGGGGAGGCCGGCCACACCTACCGATGCTGCTAGTACCGACATATGGGGCTCTGGGGTTTCGCCGTCAACGCGCCACGTCCGCAGCTGTGTGAAAGGCCTTGCGACATCGCCGACTACCTGTCAGGAGCACAATCGACTCCACGAAGTCCTTCCTCTTTTCCGTCACCCAGTCGCCGCATGTCACCACACTACCGGCAGTACTCTGAACCGACCCGGGACCACTCTACGAGCCCTTATCCGGGAAACTAAGGGCAGCAACCGATGGAGGTGCGGTTGCTGTGTGACGAACTACCGAAGAACCTCCGACGACGACGTGACGAAACTTTGTGAACACGACGTGAACCAGGCACAGTCCTGACGATGGAAGCTCTTTTACCGAAGATGGCCAGGCGACTCAACATGTAAGTAGCCGAACAAGCCGACGCAGCCTTGAACCGACGCCACTATCTAACTGCGACGCGAGGCGACGAACTAGCGACCTCGTTATTGAAGGCCAATACAGTGACAGCTCTCGTCTACACCGGGGCCGTCTTTTCTGTCATCAGTGGAGCGTTCGCCACGAAGTTGAAGAAAGTCAAGCACGCCTTAGAAGGCCGAGAAATATGGGCAGCTGGAGGCCACCTAGTAACGCCGGAGGGAATCTGTACAGCGAGAGTGTGCGTTGACAACCGTATTTATCCCGCAAGCTTCGTTGTACTACAGCGGTGCTCGAGAGATGTGATCCTTGGTATGGACTTCCTAAGCGTTTATGGTGCAATCATCGTTATCGATGATCGTTTGCAATCATCGTTATCGTTATCGTTTATGGGGCAATCATCGCGCATGAGGAACTAATGTTCTTGGAGCATGTGATAAGAAAGTCCGGAGCACGCCCCGACCCACGTAAGACAACCGCCATTGCTGCAATCCTACCACCCACCGACAAGAAGCCATCTGTCGATTTCTCGGCCTATGTGCCTATTACAGGCGGTTTGTCCAAACCTTCGCCCAGACCGCCAAGCCCCTCACTAACCTTAACAGGTTCGACGTAGGAGACAAATGAGAACAGCCGCAGAGGGAAGCATTTCAAGAACTAAAACGACGCCTGCACACGCCTCCGTTACTCGCGCATTTCGACGAATTTACCGAAACAGAAATACAGACAGACGCAAGCAGTGTAGGACTCTGTGCCGTTCTTGTGCAGAAGACTGATGGACAGGAAAGGGTCATCAGTTGTGCTAAGTGGTCGCTATCGAAAGTAGAGGCCAACTATTCTACAATAGAAAAGGATTGCATTGTAATCATATGTGCTACATCAAAGTTTCGCCCCTACACCTATGGCAGGCTTTTTAAAGTTGTAAGTGACCACCACGCGTTGTGTTGGCGGGCAAACCAGAAAGACCCGTCAGGTCGTCTCGCAAGGTGGAGCCTGAGACTGCTAGAATTCGACATTTCCGTCGTATACAAGTCCGGAAGAAAGCACTCCGACGCTGATTGCCTGTCTCGTGCCCCCGTCAAACTACCACCAAAGGACGACGCAGACGGTGACTGCTTCTTGGGAATCGTAAGCGCCGACGACTTCGCCCAGTGACAATAAGCTGACCTGGAACTCAGGAGCCTTGTTGAATACTTCTAGGGCAAGGCCATAGTTGTTCCAAGAGTATCCAAACGAGAAATTGAGTAGTTTTTTTCTGCGGAATGGCGTTCTCCTGAAGAAAAACGTTTCGCCACTTCGGGCCGACTACGTCGTCGTAGCAGCTTCAGCGTTACGTCCAGAGGTTTTGGACGCTCTACACGAAGACTCGACGGCTTGACACCTCGGTGGTTCCCGTACGCTTTCAAGAATACAGGATAAGTAGTGCTGGCCACGCCTCTCCGCCGACGTCACTGGTTATGTGAAGGTGTGCGGGCACTGCATGCCAACGACGAAAAAACACCACCGACCAGGCCAGCCGGACTTCTCCAACCCATGGAGCCACCTCGCAAGCCGTTCCAGCAAATCGGCATAGACTTACTGGGGCTGTTCTCTACATAAAATTCCGGAAACAAATGGACCGTTGTAGCTACCGACTACCTCACCCGCGACGCCGAGACAAGGGCGCTTCCCAAAGGCACTGCCACCGAGGTAGCGAAATTATCCATCGAGAGCATCGTCCGGCTTCACAGAGCTCCCCAGGTCCTCATTACAGACAGAAGTACAGCCTTTACAGTGGACCTAACTAAAGGGATCTTGAGGTACAGCTAGACAAGTCACGGCCAGACCACTGCCTACTATCCACAGACGAATGGCCTCACGGAGCGTCCTGTAAGGCCATCGCCTGTATGCTGGTCATGTACGTCGACGTCTACCACAAGACGTGGGATGAAATCTTTCCGTACGCGTCCTTCGCGTACAATACGGCCGTCCAAGAAACGAGGCAGATGCCGCCGTGTAAGTTGGTCCATGAAAGGAGCCTGGCAACGACGCTTGACGCTGTGCTTCCAAACGTTGCTGATAAAGAGAACCTCGACGTCACTGCGTACCTTCAGCGGGTGGAAGAATCTCGTCAACTCGCCCACCTGCGCATCATGAGTCAGCGGGTGACCGACAGCCGCTGTTACAATCTTCGACAAATCTTCGTGCAGTACCAGCCCGGGAACCGTGTTTGAGTATGACGCCGATTCGCCGACGTCGACTCAGTGAAAAATTTTGCGACGGTACCTCGGACCATACAGTGTAGCTCGACGTTTCAGCCCACTACACTACGAGGTTGTCGGTAAGATTACGAACTCTCAACGACGCCGTGCTCGACCTGAAATCACCCATGTCGTGTGCCTCAAGCAATTTCATGCGCGAACAAGAAGATTGTATTTTCTTAATGTGCTTGTACTTATTTTTTATTTTCCTTTTACTGTACTTTAGTCTTTTGTTAAAGCATCGGGACAATACCTTTTTCAAAAGGGGGCAATGCCACGTTCCTTCCTTCAAGCTTTGTGATCAACCTGTTACGCCACCTCCTGCGCAAACCACGTCTGCGGTGTTAGAGAACCTTCGAGGCAGTAGTAGATCGTTTTTTTAAGATTACGCCCACTTCATGAACCTTTCAGATCATTGTGGAACTTACGTCACCGCTAGCAATAACGCTAGAATGGTCGATGGCAAGTGTATAAATGCTGACACGTTTCGCTGATTCTCAATTGATCGGCAGCCGACGGCCTGCTCGCTGCTAACAGTGCCACCTTCTTGCTGTAATCTGACTTTGCTTTTTCGTGGCCACACGTTCGGCCCTAATAAACGGTTTATTATTCCACCTACAGTCGGCTTCTTTCGTTCCTGTCACGACCCCGCGACAATAATATTTCAGCCAATCATGATGCACATTTAGTAGCGAAGCTGGTCGACAAATAGGACAACACAAATACAAATTTAGATGGAGGCGAAATGCTAGAGGCCCCTGTACGTCTACTTTCGTGCAAGGTAGGGAAGGCGGCTAGAATTTTCGCAGCCATCCACTACAGCACCTCTCGTAATCCAGCATTGGCTTTTGGGATGTTAGACTTAACAATTGTATATTAATAGCTACTTTTAAATGTGTCCAAAAACTGCCTAAAATAATTTTGTAAATTCACTCTGCAGGTTCCCTGAGCGAAAAATATCAAACGAAAAAGTCAAAGCAACATGTTGAGTAGTGAATTTATACGGTGAAAAAAATTGGTTCAGGGTGGAATCAGCGGCTTGTTTGTTTTAAGGATGCTCTGTTTCGTAGCTCCTCATATGAAGAGCATCAGTGCTTACAAAAGGCCAGGTGTTGTCAAAGGGATCCCTGATGAGAAGTGCCATTTATTCTTTGTAAATACACCTACGCCAGTGATCATTGTAGGCACGTCCCATGCTTGTAGAAGTTTAGGTAAGTGAATGGCAGTGAATGAGAATGTTTATTTAAAAACTAGAAACGTATCTTAGCTGACGCCACCGTGCAAACTTCATTTTCCAGAACGAAGCCAGCCCAGGGTGTACAACTTTCAATATTACGACCCGCAAAAACATTGCGCTGTTCTAACCTTCGATGACGGTGAGTATTGAATATGCACACGTTAACCGATGTTACAAGTACCATTATTTGCTAGCTGAAATCAATATACCACACTTAGTGCTTTAGCTACTGCCTAAAACGAGCGCCCAACAAAGCGCCTGCCTCCTAATTATAAACGCTACCCCGAATTGAGGCACCGTACAGAAGTGACAGAAGCTGGCGTAAGGAAGAAACAAACATTCAAAGACGCCTTCACAAGCTGCCTCTCCCCCTCGAAAGTGCCGTAGCCACGCCGACCAACCTCCTCGTATCTAACACCCAGCGAACTCCAGAAACGCTGAGAAGGAAGGAGTGGTGGCTCCTTGGTGGCATCACAGGTCGCGGATAGTTTGAGAAAGATCATTCCCATTCCCACCACCACCTAGATGAACTCAAGACCTCCGTGCACTGCCGTGACGTCACACACACGGGATGGGCCTGGAAATTGGGCTCTACCATGCGCGGCTTATTCAGCAGGTTACCGGCACGCTTATGTTTTTTTTTCGGCCACGCTTAGTTGCACGAGAACTGATAAAGGCCCCGCGCAAGAAACACGAAACGTCGTATGAACTTCTCGAAACGACTACAAAGGTATGCGGACATTTAGGTACATTATTTGACCTTAAATCAACGTTTTTTAAAGGAAGTTTTAGAAAGCGTTGAGAGAAGGTTCTTTACAAAAAGTCTTTTTCAAAACGTTAACTGAAAGTTATTTTTTAGAACTTATGGTAGAATTTGAGTATAAAGTCTCGATTGTCCATGCAATATATGCAGGGTGTTTTCTAGGTTTTTTTTCGTCTTTTTAAATCAAAATATTATTCGCCTAACATATTTATGTATTATATATATTTACTCATTTTTACATATTTAAACCTAATAATTGAGCTCTTTGGTCAGCATTAAAGAATTAAGATGCATAAATGCGCTGTGCGCCTGCGCGGCTAGAACAATCTTTACTTGTCTGAACTTGTTTACCCGCCACTCAGTCGCCTCTGGAAGGAGCGGGTTTGAGTCGATTTCTCTCGTATTTTAAAAGTGTGCTTGCGCTTTGTGTTCGTGTTTTGTGTTCTGCCCGTGCTGCTGATTACGAAGGTGCGCTATAGTCAAGCAAAGACATGAGGGTTCGTATTGTGGAGCACTCGCCTGGTATGTACCACACTGCCGCTCTCGACGTTTTGTTATCAATGCATTCACGACGTTTTTCCTACCATGTGCATGATAAGTCAGCTTTTGTTTTTCGTGGGGACCCGAGCTTTTCTGTAGTACTTCAGCAGTGTAAAGGCAAAGTTGTGCGAAATCAAGCGCGGGCGACTTTTTTCTTTTGTGTGGAGTGTAAAACATGGACGCGTAGCGGGAATTCGGCGGCAGATTCGAGCAGGGTTGTGGCGGCTCTCCGCCTCGGTAGGCAGGGGTGTTGTAGGAGGGCCCTGCTCGGGAGTGATCATTATTTTTGTTTATTATTCCTGGTGCGTTTCTTAGCTGTAGGCGTTGATGCCTGTTCATATCGTGCGTTCTTGAAGTGACCGTGTTTCAGGCAGTTTCATGTGCTGTACATTTTATATTAAACAGCTACAATATCGTATAAGTTGTGACTACTATCAGAGAACTTTTTTCCTTGCGAGTGGCCAAGTTAATGCCGGTGTGTGCATCCGCGCCGGCACGCGTCCTTTTTAACTACCGTGATACCCGAGTTGATGCGTGTTTGTGTGCAGCGTGTTGCATCGCCTTAGGTAGGGCTAGCAAAGGTTGCACCTACACTTAAGGCTTCATGCAGCTCGTTTAGTAAAATTCCAACTTTCGGTATACACTAGCAACGTAGGTTGCCTCATGCGGCTTGAATCCGTGCATTTTAAGCCATTCGTTTATTCTGAACTGTATTTTAAAACGAATATTTCTTGGCTAAATGTGGCCAAATTGTTGTACCTTATGCGAGCAGTAATTCAATCAGTAGTCCACGCGTTCGAGCACCATGGACTTCATTCTGCTTAATTCCACCATGTTTGTATTTTGTTCTGGTTTAATAAATATTTTATGCACACTGCCCTACCTTACCGTTGAAACTTCGCTAAACACTTTTACGTTTACGAACATAAAGAATAGTTTATACCACCTCCAGTGAAATTTTCTGAATAATGACGAGCTTAGCTGTATATAGGATAAAGTAAACTTTCTAGGCATGCGCTACACATATTTATAAAATTTTTGGTATGTGCAGAACTTTGTTATTTATCACTAAAACTCGTGATGATGATATAAATCATGGTAAGCATGCATAAGTCGTGTACATATTGCTGTTAAAATGTAAAATTTTTACATAGTGTGCACGTGCGTCACGTAGTGGCGATTCGTAACTTCCGTAATGCGCCACTGGCATGCCCGGGTACCTACCGACTCCGTGGCTGACCGCTGCCGTGTTGTTTCCTCGTGCATGCGCCCGTTACGTTTTGCCTAATGATGCAAGTAGGAGCAGTTATGAGCTGCTGGTGAGGCAAGTTATTAAAACAGTACCTGCAAACAGATACGTACTGTATATACAAACTTGTTCGATACCACTGCGTGCTCAATCAGCGTGTCAGGGAGGTGGTTAAAATTGCGAAAGCAATCATTGGAATTCGGGTATTGCATTCAAGCGAACTGTGAAAATGGATAGCAAATGATATTCGTTGACTCGCGATTTGAAGTCTATCAATCGGCTTGAGTTGGGGAGCAGGTTTTTTAGTAGTGGTCGATTGATTTCCTAAAATTGTCTGTATCATTTTCAGGAACTTAACTGGATAAGCGCACAACAACAAAAGTATTATACAAGGTAAAATATGAGTCAAAACATACACGAAAAAAGTGACTGGCATGAACGTGGCACGCACCACGCGAAGTATCTACCTTGTTTAATACTTTCCTCGGCTGTTTCCACCAATTCCAATCAAAGACGCTCAACATATGCTATGTTTAAAACACTCCGGGAGGCGCACTGCTACTTTGGTGGTGTGGGCCGCAGGAATATATTTAGATTATTATTAATAATATATCCCCTGTAAACTTGCCTAGCTCAGAACGATGGATCGTTTTAATGGGGGCTGTGCGCAAGGCTCATCCACTTTTAAAATTGCGGATCGAGAAACTTTGAGCTTCCACTTGTGCTGAGAACACGCAATTTGCAGTGAAAGCGTGATAATGCGCCCTCGTAAGTTGTTGTGGGCAGCTGGTGTACGTGGTGGCTGGTATATGTGTCAGACATTTTTATTTTTCGGTCTTGAAGCGAGGCATTCCTGACCCGATGAGCTCGTTAAAGCATGACAACGAAAAACCACATGGCTTCTCTTTAAACATCGCACACAGCAACAGATGACTAGCCTCAACAAACCACTCTGCAGCACGCAAACTGCTGTGGGTACCTAGCAAGGTACCCAGGCATGGTGGGAGATGATGAGAACGGTGGAAGTGACATCACATGAACACTATGTATTTATTTGCGAATAATAAACATAGACTGCAAGTTTCGAAGCCATTCGCACTGAAGGATTTATACAAACTCGGAAATCAGTTTAATCAAATGTTATTGCTAAATCGTGGTCAACAGTTTCCAAGATTCTGGTTCCCGGAGATTTTTGCACAAGCTTGCATGCCTAATTGGTATGATGTGTGGTTGAAGGTGGGTGCCTCATATGCTTTTTTTTTCTTTAGACAGCCTGTGATGCTTAAGTGAGGGGTACTGTCATTTTAGCCAACCAGAATTATTGAAACTGATGACCCAGTATTTGGCAGCACACAATAGTAATTCAGTGACACCAATTTCTGACATTATAGGTATAAGCGTCCCAGTGTGAGCAGCCTTAAAAAGCCATCTTTGTTGTATTTGAAATCAAATTCATGTTCAATAATATAGGTTACCTGCAAGGAATAATTGATGAAAGGGCATACCATCATGTATGTGTTGTGGTATCATTGAATTTGCTTTCAATGTACTATGCACGAGCACAATTATAGCATGGTTTCGACACATCTGCACTGTGGAAATTACATTTAAAATTAATTCATAAGATTGCAACTGTGTTTGCCAGGAACATTAAGAAAGTATGCATGTAACATCCTTAGTTTGTGTACATCCTGCTTGTTTTAAGACACATTGATCGAAATCATTTTAAATATACTAACAAACTCAGTTTTTCTAAGAGTCACAAGTCTCTTTTGTCACTAAATTGTTTTTTCGGTGTTTCCATGGCAGCCTATGCGTGCACTTCGTACGAAATGAGTGTAAAGGAATTCCGGACAAGCCTGTCATCAATGGTGGCTCGTGAAAAAGTTGGCTACTGAATGTTCAGCAGTTGCGCACGGCTTGTGTTTCCTAGGAGAGGGAACTTCACTGACTCACCTGGTTGCTGTATTGAAGTCTCGCGCATGTTCAGAGTGCTCAATATGAAGCCTTTTGTTTTTCTTTAAAAAAGTCAGTGCTGTAAGTTGTGTGTGTAAAAGCCACCTTTGCAGATAGCTAAGTGTTAATGGGAACACAATGTGCATAAAAATTATCGCTGTCAGCGGTGCCCTTGAATAAGATTCAATAATGAACTTATTAGTGACTGCAGCAGGCAGCCATGCACGTAATAAAAATTTGAGCCAGTCACATTTCTGCATAGGTCCAAAGAATTCCAGCATGGCTGTGCTCGGATGTCACGCTGGAAAATTTAGTTGTGGCTTGTATCATTAGGCATGCAAAACAGTGAGCACTAGCACAAAGCTACTCCTCCTTGAGGTGCCGCATATAATCTGACCATGGGTTGAAGCCATAGACAAGCATTATAATAGTTACCTTTTTACTACCAGCTGGTGAGAGCAAGCACTGACTGCTCGTCCCACCAGGGAGTAATGCTTTTTTGATCCTCACTGCCTTGCATGTGTAATCGTGAAAGGCATCATAAACTTACTAGTGGAATATCTCGGAGCATAGACATGCTCGAAGAATTTTTCCAAGTGGGAGTGTGTAGAAACACGACTGCCACAAACTG